TAGGAGGGAAGTGCTATAGAAAACTAATTACATGGATTTCTATAAGTATAGGGTAGCCAGAATAACATAAATCTAAGATACAATAAAGGTAGATATCCCGATAAAGCTCGAATCTCCTTTTGGGAAAGCTCATCTTGGTCGGTTTTTTCTGCTAAAATCTTGTCTTTGTTTCTTGCCTATATGTTATGAAGTAACGGTAAGTGTTTGTCTTGTGTCTCTGGTGGTCAACTTTGAAGTGCCGAGTGTTTTCCAGCGCATTGTGATGAACAAAAACCTCGGCATCGTTCAAATAAAGGAGATAGCTCAATTCTCACATTATATTTCATGAGACGATGATACCAAGTGTAGACAAGCCTCAGCCAAGATCATTATGCCCGAGTATTTGGACCTTACTGTGCTATAAGCTACCATAAGTAGGAATTGATGATCTCTACGCTACCAATAACTAACTCCGGTCACGGAATATCACAGATATTTGATCAATGACACAGAAGCCAATTAATAAAGCGTCGCTCTGGGTTCGGTGCTACTCATGACCAAGTATTTATGTATGATATGTTCCATGAACAGGGCATCTTCATTGGGTACGACATGTAGTTTTCAGGTGAGCTCCTGTTATACCATTGGCTGCAGGATTACATCTTCAGACGACAACAGTGCAAGTCAAAATCATTTGATGGCCAAACTGGCATAAACGCTGCATTTTAACTCGCTGTGTTGCTGCAAACATGTGGTGACCCAAGGAGAGTGTACTACAACTGTACTACAACGGTACGGTATGCAGCACGATTCATTTTAGGGAGCAAAGATAAAGATCGCCTACGGTTTACCGACATAGCTCCCTGTTAACATAGCGATATTGATGCCAAGAAAAACGCTGTTACAGTCAAAGCTGTCAGTAATTTAACTTGGGTAACTAGAGATTGCACTGAGCAGTGGTGCAAGGATGTCGAGCGACAAGTGCACATTTAAAACATGGTGGGACCGTTCAGGAAACCCGTTCAACGGCGGTCATTTGTCTTGAACAACAAGGAATGATTGATCGAAGCAGATCAGATCTGAGCATGGCACATACAACGTGGGTCAAAGGGCTTGACAAGAAGATGTGATTCACCAATGGATGTTGAGCATCCCCGTATATTTTCTTTTGACTTTGATATCTGTCTTATGTACAGTCTCAGATTCCTTCTGTTCTGTCCACCCGTTCCCGTCAACCTGCCTTTGAGACCCCGTTCTCATCGTTCAATCGCCGAATCTACCTAGACTGCAAACAGTAAAGCGAGTTTCCCATCCAGCGCCAACGAACCCCGGCAACGACTCGACTAGGTCGCGGATCCTTGTAAACACAAGGGTCCTGTAATTCTTCAGTGGCTCGTTCGGGCAAGAATAATGAGGGAGTTACTCCGTACTGTGGTAGATGACATGCAATCGATGTTGATTGATTGTAATTTCTCACCTTCTTCTGGGACGATACAATGGCATCTATCTAGCGTCGCCGAAGTACGGTACTGTTTGCTATTCATATTACTTATTAACCTGTTTAGACTACGTATCTTGGCTTCAAGCTTGGCTTCTGCCGGGACCTGATCTATTCATGCTAAGAGCCAAAATGCCATGGCCGGTCTCCCGATAGTGGTGTAATAGACTGCAGTCTGCAAACGGTCCAGGCTTGCGGCGTTGATGTCTTGTGTTTATTGTTGATTTCGATGGGATCTATGCACCAATCAATCCCCTTTTCATCGATTTAAATGCTTGGCCTCGGTATCCTTTCTTATTTGAGCTTGCCTCTTCCGCTGGACTGGGATTTTGTCTGAATCTAGATCATACTGCACTTGCTCATATCTGCTCCCGTCTAATCTTCTCGTTTGGTTGTAACACTTCTGCCTCCACCTTGAAGCAATATTTGCTGGTTGACCCATCACTGTCAGTCGCTGACATTTATCCTAACCTTCACCCACTTCCACTCTTACTCTTCCTCCTCCACCTCGTTGCTTGCTCTTTCTTCCAGCCCCATACGCTCCTTCTTCGCCAAGCGGTTGTTGTCGAATTGTGGTCCTTTCGCTTCTTATCGCTCTTTCTCATCGAGATCGGCTCATTTCGTGCCTTCATTTTACCTACTGCCTTACCTTGCCTACCTACCTAAGGTCTTTGTTCACCCGCGCTCGTCACCAACACCATCAGTCTACAACACAACCTTTTGCTGTGAATCAAGCTGTTTACGTTGCGTCTTTCCAGGTCTACAATCGAACCTCGCACTGTTACCACGACTTTTGGGAAAAGCCGATACAGAAAGATTCAGTAGCACGTTATCGCTATGCTTGTATGTTCCCTCACCTTGCGCCACTGTGCATGGCGCATTACCATTCGTTACATCGCATACTGACATGCGTACTAGATCAAAGCCGCCCTTATGGCCCTTGGGGCCGCGGTTGTCGGTGCCGTACCTCCTCTAGAGATCAAGGGAACTGACTTCATCAACCCCGAGACTGGCGACAAATTCCAGATTGTTGGTATGGCCTACCAACCTGGAGGTAGTGCCGGTTACGATCCTTCCAGCGGAAGAGATCCTCTCAGTCATAAAGACGAATGCATGCGAGATGCTGCTCTCATGCAGATTCTTGGTATCAATGCGATCCGTGTTTACAACCTGGATCCTAACATCAACCATGATGAGTGCGCTAGTATTTTCAATGCGGTAAGTGATTTGGCTTAGCCTACGTGTATGATGATCTAACATACTTTGTTAGGCCGGCATGTATATGATGATTGATGTCAACTCTCCTCTGCCTGGTGAGGCTCTTCACTCGGAGAAGCCATGGGAGAGTTACTACACAGCTTACCTTAATCGCACCTTTGCCATCACCGAGGCGTTTGGCAACTACCCAAATACTCTTCTATTCTTCTCCGCCAACGAGGTTATCAACAATCAGGCCACTGCTGAGTTTGCCCCTCAGTATATCCGTGCTGTCACCCGCGATCTCAAGAACTACATCAAGAACAACTTGAAGCGCCAAATTCCTGTTGGCTATTCTGCCGCTGACGTCCGCGATGTTCTGTGGGATACGTGGAACTATCTTCAGTGCGCCGATGCAGAGGACAAGGGTGATATGAGCCGTGCTGATCTCTTTGCGCTCAACTCCTACTCATGGTGTGGACCCGAGGCCACCTTTGAGACTTCTTCTTACGATGATCTTGTAGCTGGCTTCAACTCAACCTCTATCCCTATCTTTTTCAGTGAATATGGATGCAACAAACCTCAGCCCCGTTACTGGAATGAGACTCAAGCCATGTACGGAGACGAAATGACCCCGGTCTTCTCGGGTGGCGTCGTGTACGAGTATACTGAGGAGGACAACAACTATGGCCTCGTCAAGATTACTGGAGACAAGCTTCGCATTCTTGGAGATTTCAACCGCCTCAAGAACCAGTTTGCTAGGATCAACTGGAAGGATGTCCAATCTAAGCCTGCAAGCAAGAGCTCCCCGAAGGTTCCGGCCTGCAAGGCTAGCATCATCAAGGATAGCGGTTTCGACAACAACTTTACTCTTCCAACTATCCCTGATGATGCCCAAAAGCTGGTCGACAACGGTATTAAGAACAAGCCTAGCGGAAAGATCATCGATATCTCGGACTGGAACGTCAAGCTTGATGTCAGTAACGCTGACGGCAGTGCTATGAAGAACCTTAAGGTCATCCCCCTGAAGGACGACGAGTCCAATGCGTCTGGTAAGAACGATGCAGACACAGGGAGCGAGACTACCGATGACAATAACAGCACCAACACCGACAACAGCACTAACTCCAACGGTGGAGATGGCGAGGATGATGAAGACGCTGCTATTCTTAACCGTCCTTTGGCTTGGTTTATGGCCCTACCTTTGGCGGCCATGGTGTTTGCGCTTTAGGGGCCTGTCTGGAACAGGAACAAGAAGCAAGCAGAACACTGATAATGTGCTGCCTTTGGTGCTTGGAACGGGAAGTTATGACACGTTTGATTTCTTCAGATACGAAAAGTATACGATATCACCCACCCTACCATCTGGTGACATGACGACTACTTCTCAGGCTCAGAGTATGAGCCTGCTCACTGGAAGGGTTTCGAGATCCTCCCGATTTGAGCTTTTTACACAGATACACAGTTTGTTATTAACTTAAGAATTACATGGACTTAATTGCTCAGGATTGCACAACTCTGTCAAGCTGTGGCATATGGAAGTAACTGGACAGTAGGACATATTGAATGTTAAATCCTCAATGCCACCAGTACTTGGTTGACTAAGAGTCATCATATCCCGCCGCCAATTTGTTTATCATGCCGTTATTGCCCAGTCTCTGCATCCACATGAAACAGGCAGTACAGTTCCTTTCCTATTGTCCTTATCAACATGAACCGCGAATAAGATTACTGCACAGCACACATTTACAACTGTGCCTATAGACCTCCTTCGAGGCGATTACTCCGTGCTCTATTTGTATGTGCTGAACGACAACGGGTTTTAATCAACCCCCCCTGATGCTACTCTTTCAAACAAGATTCTGCCTTGTTGTCATTCTACACGACTCGAGTCTCTTACTTGATTACGCCAGAGACAATGATTAGGTATTCACTTCTAGATATAGCAAGATACAACGAGCTCAATAAAACAACCTGGCTTGATCAACAATGAGAAGAGAAAGTACGGAAGAAAATTGCACGTAAGCGCATGATACATTGGAATGTATTTATTATCCATGCAACATCAATGAGCTGCTATGCAGCATCTTAATACATAAGCATCTTGGAAAACTAAGAGGCTCATTAAATCCATAAGTGTCATCAGATCTATTAGCTTTCTTTCCGTTATAGCTCAAATACTGCCGTACACGGCTTGTTAGACCATTTTTGGTCCCAAGCCCCAAAATTGCATCGCACCGCCTGGTACCCGTTTGTCTATCTTGCAGTACAAAAAGTCGTTCATCCCTTCATACTATACCAATCCCTTGGTAAAGTTTTCAACCCCTTAAGCCTGGAACTCCTGTGCCTTGCTCTCCTCCCACTTGCCAGGGACAAGGGCCAGAGGTACAATACCAGAGACGTGCATCTCAGGGCCAAAGATCTTGGCGTTGAGGCCGAGCTCCTGAGTGGCGGCCTTCATGTTCTTCAGACCCTCTTGGTAGTTGGGACCGGCACGTCGCACCCAGATGGAAACATTGTGCTCGATCAGCTTAGGAGCGAAGTCTCGCAGAGCCCTGATAACACCCTTGAAAGTGCTGGCGACGTTGGTGAAGTTGGCAATACCACCACCGATGAAGAGAACCTTGCCCTCATCGTTTTGGGGAGCACGGAGGAGAAGGTCCAGAACAGTTCGAGCGTAGTGGTAGGTCTGAGACTCGGTGGGAGCACCGGAGTACTCACCGTAGTTGGCGAGCTCGTCGGCGAAACCAGCAGAGGCAATGGCATCGGCGTAGACGACGGAAGCACCACCACCAGCAACAAGGGTCCAGATACGGCCCTTGGCGTTCAGTACGGTGAGCTTCAGGGAAGCACCAGTCTTAGCGTCGAGGTCAGCGATATAAGCCTCCTCCTTGGTCAGCTCACGACCGAAGGGGGCAGGGAACTCCATGGGAGGGCCAGCATCGATGTTGATCTTGCCATCAGCAGAGGGAGCAATGTTGGTAAGACCGAGAGCAGCGGGAGATCGAGCAATGGCCCACTTGACACCACACTCGAAGTCGGCAGTCTGGTCGAGCTTGGCAGCAAGATCGAGGAAGTGGACAGCGGCGGAGGTCTTGTCCTCATTGGGAATGACAACGAGAGGGTTGATCTCGAGATAAGTGAACTGACAGTCAACGTAGACGGCATAGAGACGGGTGATGAAGTCAACCAGGACGTTGTGGACGCCCTGGGGAACCTTCTTGAGGAGAGTAGCAGCAATCTCCTCGTTGGAAGGGTATTCGGCGAGATCCACAGGGATCAAAAGCTTCTCAGCCTTAGCGTCAACATCACCGACATCAACACCGCCCTCGTGGGTGAAGAGGATCCAGTCGCCCTATAGATGAAAGCGTCAGTAAATTAGGTCCAGATAGTTTGGCAGTTGGGTGTAGGCCGGAAAACCGGTACTGGTTGTGGGGTTGATCGCGGAAGGGACCGAGAAGAACGGGGGTTGTTCCCGACGATTTCTTATCGCAGCATCCGTTCGCCCGTTTCGGTACAAAGAAGGATTGCCGGCACAGGTAGAGGGAGCCCACAATTAGACTATGCAACGCTGAGCAGCAAATACAAGTCGCTGCAGACCCCTTTCTTCTCTTCAGATTCTTTCCCTCTCTTCCTATTCCCTTCTTTCGATTTCAGGATCTTCATACTGGGAATATGAAGTGCCCAAGGAACTCATCCAAAAACACAAGAGGGAACATTGCTTCAACTTACATCACGGACTGAGTTGATGTTGATGTAGTACTCAGTGTCTTGGGGATGAGGAACAAAAGGCTCGACAAGGAACTGTCTCAACACACCAGTGGTGTGCTCAACCTGCTGCTCCTTACCGGCTCGCTCAGCGACCCAAGCCTTAGCCTCAGGCCAGGTCTTGTTAAGAGCCAAAAGACCACTCTTTCCTCGTCGCTTGATGAGCTGATCGGGCTTGGCAACGAACTTGGCGTCGGGCTGGAGGAGCCAAGGGTAGGTGACCTCAGCCTGGTTCAGAATATCCTCAACACTGGCGTCCTCTGGGAAGTGCAGCGAGGCGAGTCTGCTGGGGGGGTTGTGAGTAGTAGGCGCAGGAAGAGGGCTGGGCTTGATAACGGGAGCGCGGGTGAGGTGGTAGTTGAGGATGGCCTTGCCGTCGGCCTCGAGAATCGATTTGGCGGACATTTTTAATTATGAGGAGAGGAGGAGAAAAGCAGAGTTTAGAATGAATTGGCGAGTGCCGGTTTATTCCTTTTCTTCAATTCTGGTGAACAGAATACGGTTAGCAAATGCCGAGTCTGGTCTGGTCCAAAGGTGATCGGGATTATCTCGCAGGCATAAAATCGATTCGAATGGTTCAGCTCAGGATTGGAGTTGAAACAACAGCCAGGGCTGACAAAACGAAACAATGTATTTCACAGCGGTTTATACGAGCGCAAAACGCAATGCTCAAGTGAAGCAATTATTGCAATTGACTTTGGCACTTTGAGAAGAGTCGACGTCCGTTCGGCGGGGGAAAAAGCACACTCACCACTGTACACGAGCTCAAGTGGGCTGCAACAATGAAGTCGAAAGTGAGGATTGGAGAGAGAGATGAGATTATGACAGAGAGATGGGCAAAAAGTCGGGGAAAGAGAAGAGGATGAAGATTGCTCAAGACGATGAGAGAGGTGAGAACGGAGGAGCAAATAGAAAGAAGCAGCGAGAGTTTGGAACGAGACACTGCAAGTTGAGGAGTGTGTGACTGAGGGTGAGCTCTCTCGAAAAAATCACTGGACCTGAACTGAAGGAAGCTCAATGGAAGGGGAAGACACCCGAAGCGGGTGGAGTGGAGGGGTCAAGTTGAAGGGGGAGTGGAGGGGCGCTCGACAACCTGGCCTGGCGTGGCCTGCGCTAGTAGCCTGGGGTGGGCGGTCAGTGGAGGGTACCTGGAGCTACAGAGTTGATCAGCGCGTGGCGGAGGTACCTGGGCCCTGAAATCCATTGGGGACGGGGTTCAAAAAGCGATGAGGGATTGTCAAGTACCGGTACATGGACAATGTCACTCCGACTCCAAGCTGTTGAGGACCAGAGTGGACCAGGGGGAGACGACCGACACCTTGAGTTACGTACGACAGGTCGATTCGAATTTCATCAAACCGCCGAAAACCGCAGCAGTCTGACGCCGCACGCTGCAATCCGATTTCTATCCAGCCCAACCTGATCAATTCAGAATTTCGGAAGCTTTCATGAGGTTCGGCCACTTCTTCTCCTGAGTCTTTTTTGATGGCTTTTTGGGGAAGACCACCTATGGTCCTGATATCAACATACGTACAACTTGTACCTAGATGGCCTAAGCACCGGTTGGCTCCGGGGTCCGCGAAGCGAGTCGCCTGCCCCAAAGACCTGGATAGCAAAACAAAAATGGAAGTCTTCCATTTGGTGAGATTGGCAAAGATTGACTCGGGTTCCGGGGGGAAGTGCCCAAAGCTGACCTTGCGGTGAGTTCGAGGAGGTACCAACTCAAGGTGAAGTGAGCCTACGAGGTGATACCAGCCCAGTGGCTTGTTTTGGTGGTCAGCGCCTGGGCTCAGTGGGCTGGACGCCACCCCCGACATGGTCTAAGCTTGATTTCCTGCCCCTCCATTCCCCTCCATGATGGACCTCGCCTCACCTCGAGCTCTTGAGCTATCTAGGCTATCCGATTCTATTCAGTGCTATTCACTCCGAACCCACAACTACCGGTTGGCTACGGGTTCGGTCTCCATCAAATCGCATATCTAAGCTTCCGATGTTCGGTGGAGAGAAATTTCTTTACAGGACAGGAGAGGCTGTGCAAGCATTCATGCCTTTTTTTGGAACTGCAGACCATCTGTGGAACATCAATCGGACGGTTTAGACAGTCCAGGAGCAGAAGACCCAAGATGAGAAAGTGGCTTCGTTTTGACGGGTAGGGAATTTCAGCGCAGTCATGCAAATGCAGCTGTTTATAGTGACAGCCAACTTTCACTTTGATTCATCTTCCTAGCCTTGCTATTGTATCCGTACCAAGTGGTAGGGCTAGCTTCAGTCCAGCCGCCCTTGGCTAATGTGAGCATGTGTGTCCCACTCAACAATGATTCCATGCCGCCTTTCCATCCCCCTACCATCTTCTGGTAGGATTGGAAGGCTGTCGGACCTCAACGCGATACCACCACCAGCCAAGAAAATCACCGACTTGACCAAGGACACCTGATCATGAGCCTGCCAGTTTCCTGAAGCAGAGGCTTACGGCATTCCGAGTATCACTGTACTGTCAGTTGGACAGACTAGTGAACTCAAGTGTCAGTTCATGAGATGTCGATGATCTTGCAAGATCTTTGACAGTGCACACGAGAATACGGGATGATCCCAGCGTTCACTGGACCATGATGGACATGTCTCTTTTCTCTTGGCCGCGAAACAATATGCACAGATTCTTTAGGCATTATCACTATTTTTTACTACATAGTACTTGATGGTTTAGATGGTCTCAAATTTGGCTATTCAAACTTCTCGGGGCCAGAGTGGGGATAAGCGCCGTTACAACGCCTCTTACAAGTACAGACTGGCATGGACAACAGCCCCTTATGGTGTGGCAGCTCCAGTCTTCAAGCTCAATTTCAAACCGCCTTGACCAGACAAAAAAAAAAAAAAAAAAAAAAAAACCCATTCAACAGATCAACAAGAAAAAAAAAGAGGACCCTGCAACAAGCGACATCCCCAAAGAAAACACAGGCTTCTTCCCCAACTGGCTGGTTGATCAAATTCAACTACATCACCCCTTGCCGTCTAGAGACATTGGACGTCCATTTGGTCGGCCGAGAAATTCCCCATCTTGGCAATTGAGTTTCTCAAGAGATATCACCAAAAAGAGCATTAGGCAAGACCCAATTGTTGGTTCTCAAAAAACGAGGGAGTGAGCTTGTTCCCGTCCATCTGCTCCAAAAATATGGCCTGGATGCGGCTATGGGCTATGGGCTATGGGTTGCGTGAGAAACCTGGTGCGAGCGGTGGCTAGTGATGTACCGGGAGGTGGGCCAACAGGGGTAAACTTCCTGCCCCTCGATGTACTGTACCTGAGGTACCCGTTACTTGAACCCCCAAGCATCGGTCCTTGCATTTGCAGAGGCGTCACCCCACTAAGTTTTTTGGGTGTGGTGAGACCTCAAACAGGACCCGACAGGACATAGCACCGCGGCGAATTGGTGCTACAGCTGTCCACTGCTTGCTGAGAGAAGCCTCATCGACCCTTGAAAGTCAACCAAACCCAAAAACCCAAGCCCAGTCCAGCTCTCACTTGCCCACCTCCCACCTCACCAGAGACGTTCAGTCGTTCCTCCTGATTTCTAGGTCCCGTCCCATCCACTCACTCCCCTCCCCCTCGTCTTGTCTCGTCTCCGACTTTGTCTCCTTCAACTGACGGATCTTCTCGACCGTTTCTTCTTCTCATCTCAATTCCTTCCACATCTTCCTCTTCATACATCTCCTCCATACCTAATTCCTTTGAGCCAACTTCTCCCCAGAGAGCTCAGAGCGTTTCCTCTACTCAGCAGCTGACACCTTATTTGGTTCCCCAGCGCTTTAAACCTTCAATTCTCCCGCCTCTACTCACACCGTTCAAGTTCGATATTCACAATGGCTCCCGCTTCCTCCAGTAGCCTGTCGGCCAACGACAACATTCAGCGTTTCCCGGCTCCCAGCCGACCTCTGAGCCCTCTTCCCGAGCACGCTCTCTTCACCGACAAGACGCGATGCTTCGTCTACGGTCTTCAGCCGCGAGCCGTCCAGGGCATGCTCGATTTCGACTTCATCTGCAAGCGCTCTAAGCCCTCGGTCGCCGGTATCATCTACACTTTCGGTGGTCAATTCGTTAGCAAGATGTATTGGGGAACCAGCGAGACTCTGCTGCCTGTCTACCAGCAGGTTGACAAGGCAATGAGCAAGCACCCCGATGTCGACGTTGTCGTCAACTTTGCTTCTTCCAGAAGTGTCTACAGCTCCACCATGGAGCTTATGGAGAACCCTCAGGTCAAGACCATTGCTATTATTGCTGAGGGTGTTCCTGAGCGAGTAAGTACTTGCCAATTGCCATGTACCAGAAAAAAAAAAAAAAAAAACTAACAATTACTCTCTAGCGAGCTCGTGAGATCGCCCACGTCGCGAAGAAGAAGGGTGTTACCATTATCGGGCCTGCTACGGTCGGTGGTATCAAGCCCGGCAGCTTCAAGATTGGTAACACTGGTGGTATGATGGACAACATTGTTGCCTCCAAGCTTTACCGTAAGGGTTCCGTTGGCTACGTCTCCAAGTCCGGCGGTATGTCCAACGAGCTCAACAACATTATTTCCCAGAATACCGACGGTGTGTATGAGGGTATCGCCATCGGTGGTGATAGATACCCCGGTACCACTTTCATTGACCATCTCCTGCGATACCAGGCCGACCCTGAGTGCAAGATCCTTGTCTTGCTCGGTGAGGTTGGTGGTGTTGAGGAGTACAAGGTCATTGATGCTGTTAAGCAGGGTATCATCACCAAGCCCATCGTTGCCTGGGCCATTGGCACTTGCGCCAGCATGTTCAAGACCGAGGTTCAGTTCGGACACGCTGGTTCTTTCGCCAACTCTCAACTTGAGACTGCCAAGATGAAGAACGAGAAGATGAAGGAGGCCGGCTTCTACGTACCTGCTACCTTCGAGGATCTTCCCGCCACTCTCAAGGAAGTGTATGACAAGCTTGTCTCCCAAGGCACTATCGTTCCTCAGCCCGAGCCCGTTGTTCCCAAGATCCCTCTCGACTACTCTTGGGCACAGGAGCTCGGTCTCATCCGAAAGCCTGCCGCCTTCATCTCCACCATCTCCGATGACCGTGGCCAGGAGCTCCTCTACGCTGGTATGCCCATCTCCGACGTTTTCAAGGAGGATATCGGCATTGGTGGTGTTATGTCTCTGCTGTGGTTCCGCCGCCGTCTGCCTTCATACGCTTCCAAGTTCCTTGAGATGGTTCTCATGCTCACTGCCGATCACGGTCCCGCCGTCTCTGGTGCCATGAACACCATTATCACTACCCGTGCTGGTAAGGACTTGATCAGCGCCCTCGTCTCTGGTCTCTTGACCATTGGGTCCCGATTTGGTGGTGCCCTTGACGGTGCCGCTGAGGAGTTCACTCGTGCCTTCGACAAGGGTCTCAGCCCCCGTGACTTCGTCGACAGCATGCGCAAGGCCAACAAGCTCATCCCCGGTATTGGACACCGTATCAAGTCCCGCAACAACCCCGATCTCCGAGTCGAGCTCGTTAAGGAATACGTTCTCAACAACTTCCCTAGCCACAAGCTCCTTGACTACGCTCTTGCTGTCGAGACTGTCACCACCTCCAAGAAAGACAACCTGATTCTTAACGTTGATGGTTGCATTGCTGTCTGTTTCGTCGATCTTGTCCGCAACTGCGGTGCATTCTCCGCTGAGGAAGCTGAAGATTATCTCAAGATGGGTGTTCTCAACGGCCTCTTTGTTCTTGGCCGAAGCATTGGTCTCATTGCCCATTTCCTTGACCAGAAGCGTCTGCGTACTGGTCTTTACCGTCATCCTTGGGATGACATCACCTACCTCCTCCCTAACCTTCGGGAGGCTGGAGCCCCTGGTGCTGAGGGCCGGGTGGAAGTTTCTCTGTAAGAGATGGAGAATGGTAATTCAAATGGGAAAGGAAGAAATAAGGCGTCGAGCATTTGATGATTTTGTGCCGGCCTGGACGCGTCGTGGAAAATAACGACGGTCTGTATGAGGATTCCAATACAATGTAACTAGTGCTGGAGGCCGCAAGATGGACCTCCATATTACTCGCTTGATTCTATAGACATGAATGTTGATGTTTGCTATGAGATCCTTTCGCGTTACATGCTTAATATGTCATGACGAAGATGGTATGGTGGTTTGAGAAGCCTCCTCTTTTCAATTCGAATCACTCTCCTTGTATCGACCCGAATTTCATTCCAGTGTGTAGAGTTCGCCAGCTCCCGAATCTTGGATCATATCTGCAAGAAAACATTGCGACCATAGATATTAGATTATGGGAAAACGAGCTACGGCATCTCAGTAAACTTATTGAATTATGAACACAACTTGGAGAAAATACCACTCGAAGTTTGAACATTTCTGAGGCGGATGACTCAACTCACGTGGTTCATCATGAGAAGGCCTCTTGGGATGGTCACATGATATGTTCCCAAAGCGGTTTGGCGTACCCAGTGATTTTGACGCCGATCCTCGAGCTCATGCTTTGACGATGACCGACGACGAAACGCGAATGGCGGGTTGGTGTTTCTTTCTGAGGCTTCTTCGATTCCAATTGCAGGCTATCTATGGTAGGTCGTCCACATCTCCTATTCATAGGTAGATCTCGCTCACACAAAGAATAGATCCTGCGCTCCATTTCTCCCAAGGATCAACCACTACAAACCACCAACAATGTCTTTCTTCCGCATCACCCTGCATCGCTCCGCCATCGGTCTTCCCGAGCGCACACGAGGTGTCCTCGCCGCTTTGGGCTTGCGCCGTCGTATGCAGACCGTCTTTCATCCCGTTCACCCACAGTTCGCCGGTATGATCCTCAAGGTGAAGGAGCTGGTTCGTGTCGAGGAGGTGGATCGCGCACTGAGCAAAAGAGAAGTAAAGGCTGCGCGGACGCCGGATCCTGGGTTTTATGTTGAAAAGGCTGTGCCAAGAATGTAAAAATATGTGATACCAAGGAAAAGAAAGGGGAGTGTACTATACTGTAATGATCCTTGTACAAAAGCTGGTGCAAGATAGGACGAAACTCTAGAAGTGCGATCAAGACACATCGAGTTTTAATTCACAAATCACTTGGATGAAGAAATGAAATACAATAATTTCGCATTGAGACCCTAAACACCCCGAACACGATACTTATTACAGATGTATCACGGATGACCCCCTCACAATTACGTGCGTGTCTAGCCCTCCTTTATCCCAACCGCAAGTCGCACTACCCCAAAATGTGTCATCATGTGAGTGAAACTCCTAGTTTGTCTCTCTCTGACCATCCACCAGAGTTAAACTGATGTTGCCCCAGGAAATCAGTTTCAAGTGGTGGAGACGGTGGCGAAGGCAAAAGCCCTGAGAAACCATGATTTCCTAGGCAAACTGTGCTGTTCAGAAGCTACGAGCTTTGTCAATATACTCTTGGCTGGGAGTCTCGTACTCATTGACAAAATATGTCTCGCAGTTACGTCCTAGCCAAACGTTGAACTTTCCTATCTCCTCTCGAAGACGGGACACGGACTGCTGGTCCATGTTGGTCTGCGCCAACAGTTCGGGGAGAGATACTGGCAGCACCAAGTCAGCAAGAAATTATCTATGACTGGAGGTGAAGGGACATAGGTACCAATTAGTCGAGCAAGATGCTCAGCGCCATAGACATCGCAGACATTGGTGATTTCTGGGTTCGCTTCAGTGTTCTCCCAGAGCTTCTTTAGCTCCATGTGCTGATGGCGCTCGAAACTAGTCCCAGTCAGTTGACTGAAATGTTGAGAAGCGATTACACTTACCGGTACAGCAAGATTCTGCTAAGAGCCTTCTCGAAGTACTCGCGGAAGCCTGCGACGACTTCTTCCAAGATGTCCATGCTGGAAGATCCCTCTTCGCGGTGTGGACGCTCATGCGCAAGATAGTCTTCAAATATCTTGGTGACTGGCTTATTGTGAGGAAGAGGGACAAGCTGGTTGTTCTTGGTGATGTTTTCCCAATCATCGACCAGCATCGCTTGAATGTGGTCGGGTACTGGGAGCTTGATCATAGGTTTGTTGTGGAAAGCATCCTCCTAAGGCAAGGTTAGTATATGGAGAATTATTCGAGCTGTGAAACAGCTGGTGGCTGCTGCATAGACACATGGAATCAAGGAGTGTATATGGGATCGATATACCGTCTCGAGCTGGTCGCATGAGCGCGGCTTGGGCTTGGCACTAGGCTTCTGAGGCTTCTGACGTGGCTGCTTTGGCTCGTCTTCGACGGTCAGGGGCATAGCGTAGCGATCATCATGGATCAGTTTACCCGACTCTGTTACATAGCGATGGCCACTAGAGGGGAGAAAAGTAAGATGGTCCTTGATTTCTTTGAGCTTGGTCAACTTGACCTTCTTAGAGGTAAGGGAATCCATCGACTTGTCAGGCTGAGCCAAAGCAGGAGAGCCTTGAGCATCGGAGGCAGGAAAAAAGCCTTGCGGAGTAGAAAGGCCGCTCGTCGATTCCATGACGCCGCAGTGCCTTGCCGTTGATGAAGGGCTGGGGGTGACAGGGGGCAAGTGCTTAAGTAAGGGAAATGTTATGATGGGAGGAAGAAGACTAGGAAGTACGGGAACTTTGAAAACGGTAGAGCAGACAAGAGCTGCAGGAGAGAAAGGATGCAGTGCGTAGAAATGATGCCTTGTCAAAGTGGGATTTTGATGAAGTTGGGACAAGGGCGAGGAGTGACAAGAAAAGAATCATGGAGGGGAAAACGGCAGCGCCATAGGCAGTGTTGGGTGTAGGCGTAGAATGGATCACAATATAAGGCTCGGTATGGCCCTGGTTCAACCGATCAGATGGGAAAGCACACTTTGATACAATAACAACCTTCTCCCCAATTTTGAGATAAGGAGGCATTGGTGAATAGTGTGACAGAGTATAGATGCTTCTTCTTTCAACCAGTCTCACCAAATGGCCAACTAGGCCAAATTTTGCATATCACAGCCCAGAATAGCCGGAGAACACTCGCAAAAAGAACAAACAAAGCATTGGGTGGGGCAATCTGGGCAACGTAGCAAGTAATATCAACGAGCAAAGAATTTCTTACCTGTTCCAATTCCCAGTCTTTGCCTCGTCTTCCTCCCCTGCCTCCTTGAACAGTGGCAGAGCCTGATCGCTCCTCGCTGACTCTAGCAGACTCAGCACCACTTCTAAGGCCCTTTTTCGGCTGCTTGGTGCTTCGTTGGATGTTATGCTTCAACTGCGCGTGCAACTGTGCAGCCAGCTCTTTGTGCTCATCGTCGAATGGCCGGATACGGTCTACCAGCACCCAGTCGTCCCAGGTGTTCTTCCACCCCTTGTAATGGACTTTGTACTTGTATCCGTCACTGGGCTTCTCACCTAGCTGAACATCCATAATCTTGGCCTCGTAGAGCATGTCCATGTGGAAACAGAGCACTTTCTCATCTTTGCTGAACGGCGGTGGCGCCGGTTGCTGTCGAGCAGGAGCCATGTCTGTGATGTAAAGAACAAAAAAGGTAAGAAGTTACAAGAGTGGTAAAGAAGTGGTATAAATGCAAAGTTAACAAAGCACGGATGTAGTTCTCCAAAGTCTAGCCAAGTCCAAAATCGATGAGTGTTGATAATAAGAACAATGGGTATGGGAATGGATGGGTGGGTGGATGGATGGATGGATGAGATTGGATGCCCAGATACAGTGCAGGTACCGGTTTCTGTTAACAATTTACGGTAAGGTACCTACTTTGGACAAGGTAAGGTACACACTTAGTTCGCGTTAATGAGGGAACAGGGGATGTTCACTGTGACCACGCGACGCGACAGCCCCTTAGGTTGGTTCAGAGTCAAAGCTGACGGAACCTAAGTGCTTGAATGGATGTGATAAGATAAGGGATTTGTTGGTAACAAAGGAGTGGATAGTGGAAAGCCAATGCTTACACGGGGCTGAATTAGCGGGAGGTGGCCCCAGGCCCGCTCTCGAGACATCCAATCTATGTTGGATTCAAGACAATTTGGGTTCTGGTCACTGGGAAAAGGTCTTGCACCTTTGAAGTTCACTGGAACTGAGATTGGTAAACTAGACATCGCCTGTGCTACTCTTCTCTTCTATTCTGTTGTCTTCTCTTTCTTTTTTGAAACCATCCAGTTTCTTGAACTTACAGTAAATCGACAGATTACACCTGAATCCACTAGAGACGCATACACTTCCATACCTACACATCGTCCTTGACCTCACCTTCGCTCGTCTAGCTATCATTTAGGTTGCTCTTCATCGTGGTATCCAGCCTGAAGTACTTCGGATACATATCTGTCGAGGTCAGGTGCACGTAGTGGACGGCTTGAGCTAGGGAACTGTGTTGCTGCTGGCAGACAACAGAAGGGTCATGAGCAGTATGCTTTATGCTTTTACACTATTTCTATGTAAACCAGCCCAGCTGATACAAGAGCCCCTGAGCCATTCAATTTTAATGCTATCGTGATCCTTTCACTGCCGAGTGCTGGCACCAGAAAGAAGACATAATATGGTATTTCGTGAGTAGACATTGGCGGGTTTCTTGGACCTTTGACAGGAACCTGATTCGTTGACTGCTGGTACAGGATGACCAAATCTCGAGGTCAACTTGACTACAGCTCAGCTTCAACTATTACTATTGTTGTTAGTTGTGATGGAAGAGGAGCGCCGGCGGGCACTCCAAGGTTTAGATAGAAGCCCAAGAGTCATAAATGTATGATATCATGTAAAATGGATGTATTGTACATAAGGTAACTGCACTGTTCCCAGCTTGTGTTTGTACGAGATTTCGTTTATCAACAAAGAGGGAAAACCATGAAGAAGAGGAAAAGAGCCGAGGAGGAAGCCGGATGGTATTCAGAAAGGTCTATCAATCCCCCCTATTGTCTCGTATCCAGGCATTGAAAGCTTGGGTAGGCTGAAATTCCTGAACAACGTCCTGTTTGTGTAAGCTGGGGTTGTATGTTTTAAATGTGGGGGCACTTAACGCGCTTCATTTCCAAGACGCGTCCTGATTCCATCCCATATCAAAGCTGAACATAATTGGACCAATACCTTTCTCAGAATCAAGAGTCCTTTTCAACAGTCGCACGGGGGTTAACTCAGCTCGAAACCATAGACATGGCACCAACAGAAGCGGAGCTTCTTGCAAATTACCTCATACAGCCATCTCCTTTGACCGCTATCGTCACACTCGAGCAATTCAAAGCCCTCTTTCCCCGTCCACTACAATCTTCACCTCAGGTTCGATCACTCTTTCGAGATCTACAAGCTCAACGCACGGATCTTCTCGACCAAGTCGCCGAGAACATCGCACATGAAGCGAAACGAGGGATCACAATGCGGCGAGAAGTCGTGCGGGCTAAGCGCGAGGCAGAGCGAGAGGATGTAGACGCCGAGATTGAGATGGAGCGAGCAGTATGTCTAAACGAGTACACATAATCATGCGAATGCTGACCGACGTTGCTTACAGCTATTTGGAGATGCTTCTGGTGCAGCGACCGCCAAACATACTCTCAACTCTGTTATTCCAGAACTTGAGGGTGCCGCAGGTGCACTACATGCCGAACTTGCACATTTGAAAGAGGAAGAAGCAACCTTGCTAGACTCTGTACAACAGACTATAGGATCATTGAGCGATTTACGATATGGGAAAGTCGCCAATGGCCGAATAAGCGAGGGGGTTCTTGATGGCCTCAAAAACGTAGAAGCAGCTTGCGAAAACAAATCGTGAAAGAACAGATCACTTCAACGGCGTCTACAACTTCACGAGAATGATCATGATCTCTCTGAGCCAGAAACTTCATATATTTGCACAACAGATCAACATTTTCCCAGATGTCGAACAATTTGACGGTTCCATCACTAAAGCCTGTCAAGTGTTTGCTAAGAAAGAATTATTGGGCGCGCTGAGCACCAGTCTGAGGGGCACCGTTGGCACCTTGCATACGACGGGACCTGGTGCTATTAGTATCACTTTTGTTTGGCCCGGAGGTTGGAATAACTCACATCATGGTGCGGCTACCGAAAGAGACAACGAGCATGAAGAGCCAGTTGGGGATGAGGCCCATAGCCCACATGAGGTAGCCGAAGGGAACAGCTACGCCGTACTCGGCAAGCTTACCGTTGAAGGGATGGAACCAGCTGCTGTCAAGGAGATGGAACTGGTCCTTGCTGCCGGACTCGTGGAAGGCAACCAGAGTGTCGGAGGTTGTGGTGGTCAAGTTAAGCCTCTTGCTATAAATCTCGACGGGCGCAGGTTCGGGGAGCATCTCAATGATATAGAGACTGGCGGGACCCGCAGACCAGGCATTGCAGAGAATGGGCTGGTTGTCGCAATTCAAGTAGGCCATATGGGGGGTGTTATCGAGGAGCGCAAACTTGGCAGCGGTCTCATTGAAGGCCTGCTCGACAGTTCCACATCGACCTTTAATTACATGTTAGCAACAGTTCATTACGACTGACACGGTGGTAATAAAAAGTCATGGCATAAATCATATAGTGTAAATTCCTGGTGAGGAAACGTACCGTAGCAGGTTTTGTTGCCGCCAGAGATGAGCAACCACCACTCCTCAGGCGTAGTAGCACCAGCGGAAACAGGCTCGTAAAGGGTTTGCTTCCAGTTCTCTAGGGTCAGGACGTTGAGTCTCATGGAACCAGCCTTCGCCTCAGCGGCTGCAACAGGGTCATGGCGGCCTGGGTTGGGAATATATGAGGCGAACTGTCCGATGACATTTTGGAACTGGGCCTTGTACTGGTCGATAGGCGAGTCCTGAGCGGCAGCAAGGGCGGGCAGAGCCGCAAGAACAGTGGAGGACGAGAAGCGCATATTGGCAATTTACTTCTATGAGCTTGTGATAGTTGACAGCGAAGTATGGCGCAAATTAATCAACAAATATCGACCTCGAGGAGACGGCTGGAGAGGAATAGAAGAGAGGAAAAAGAAGGAAGGGAAGATAAGACAGGCAGGCAATGGCCAGATGGAAAGATGAACGGGCTGCGGTGGAGATGAATGAATGAATGGGCTAAGGTAAGGGTAACTATGGCTAAGCTTGGATAAAGACCCCGGTGAAATTGGATGCATGGGGAAAGCTGGACCCTTGTAATCGTTGGGGAGATTCTTCAGTGGCTTATGTACTTTATTAACTCCTCTTTATTGCCTTGGCTGCTGACTTATACGTAAGGTAAGGTAAGGGAAATGGAAAGGTAAGGTGGTTTAAACCTGGAAACCCTGAGCATGGAGACAACTGGTAAGTCAAAGGTTGAGAAACAGAGAGGTGAAAGCAAAGCAAAGCAAAGCAACTAGGTCTTTCAATGCACTTAGGCGCATGAACGATGCTACGGAAATCTGGTTCTTAATAACGCTGGTAATCGACTTGTTACTACTCCGTATGTGTGGTCATATAACATGGATGCTGAAGTTTCCATCCACATGGCGTATTCCCCGCGCAAAAAGTCAAACCCCGACCGACAATTTGAAAACAAATGATGACACCTAACGAGCAACGATTTGATAGCTCCAGCCCATCCTGACAGACTTGCCCCAGAGCTAACACATGCCTAGGTGCCTAGGTGCCTGTTAGTTATTTAGACCAGTTCCACTAAATTGAGCAAACCTCATGTTCCGTCACTCCACGAGACCCAACCTTAGTACCCTACCACACCCCAGTCATGATCACAAAGACACGGACCGAGACTTATTCCGTGTCGCTCTCACGTTCTCTTCGACGCGCGCGTCTGTGAAGTGATTCACGACACTACCAGATTTTAACAATAGGTTTTATTCTTGGTCTTGAAGTTTCTGATCCTCTTGTTTGTTGTGCTGTACACTTGTCTACTCCAATTTTCTACCCACGTAACGTTTTCCACCTCGTATTATCGTTGTGCCCATACCATTCGATCCGTCCCGTAGCAACGACCCTGCCTCGAGCCCTATTCCATCACGCTCATTATGAATCCTCAGATGGGCCAGCAAGGCCAAGGCCAAGGCCAGCAAGCTGGTGCTGGTCAGGCACAGCAACGCCCACCACCTATGTATCAACCCAACCAGATCAGAAACCTTCCAACATTGAGTGACGAGGAAAAGTCCAAGTACGAGGCCGGATTGCAGGGTCTTTGGAACAAAGCCAACAACTCTCCCCAGAACAGCCCGGATCACATTGCTGCCCGTCAAAAAATCATAGAGTTCTCGAAGATGCTTATCACGAAGATCCAGCAGAGACGATCCCAGCAAATGCAAGGACAGAATGCCCATAACCAGCAGGCTCGCCCTCAGCAAATGCAACAGAACGCTGCTGGGCAAGCAAATCAAGCACAACCTCAGCAACAAGCTGCCGGGGCTGCTGCAGGTAACCAATCAGCTGCTGCTGCTGCCGTTCGACGAAACCCAGTACCCGATCATATCCAGCAGCATGTTAATAAGATTAATTTTCGAGCTCCCCAGTCCGTCATCGATAAATCCGCTGCCGAGGCCACCAAATGGATAGAAGAGATCAAGGAACGTTATACCCGAGCCTTGATGACTATGGATGCGAGCAAACAAAAGGTGGCCCAAATTGATAAAATCATTAATGATAGAGCTGCGGCCGGACAGCCGTTCAAAGAAGATGAGCTTCGACAGCTACAATTGAAGAAGGATCAGCAGCTCAAAGCCCATACGGATGCCCACAAATGGGTTGACAATGTGCGCAAGCAACAGGGAAGTCTGCAGGGCACTGGCCAAGCTCAAACTCAACCTCAAGCACAAAACTCTGTCAGGTTGTCGCAACAAGGAAATCAGCCAGTGCAGCAGGCTGCAGCGACACAACAAAATCAACCGCAAGCACAGCCGAGGCCACAACAGCAACAACAACAACAAACCCAGGCAGCGCAAACCCAACCTCAAGCGGCTCAGCAACAGAACAACGCGCAAACTAACACTGCCCCTGTTAACGCGGCTGTCGAAGTTGCTAAGCAGCAGTTAGCTGCCGTTAGTCGAGCTTCCCCAGTTAACGGAACACCTGGAACAGCACCGGCGCAGGTACGTCCCGCGCAAGGGACACCTCAACCAGGACGCCAGCAACTACCAGCGGCGCAAGTTCAAGTTAAACAGGAACCTGGTGCTCCCCCCATGAATCCCGCGATGGCTTCGGCAGCTGCACAGAATCAGGCTGGGACGCCGACCCAGCAGAACGCACCACGGATCCCTACACCCCAACAAGCAGCGGCGGCTTCTGCTCCAGTCACGGCTGCGGGTCATCAGCAAGCTCTCAGTCACTCAGCTGCGATGGATCTTGCGAACCAGAAGGCTATTAACACTCCAGGAAGTGCTTCGGTACCTGGCCGGCCTGCCGCAACTGGAACACCAACACCGGGTAGTGCAGTGAATCAAGGAGTGATGGGACCTAACGTTCCCCAGCAACCAACACCACAAGGTCATCCGCATGCCCATCCTCCACAGCCTCAACAAACACCAATGCAGTCTAAAATGCCTATCCCCAAGGTACTTCCTGAAAAGGCTACAGCCGTGCCTCAAGGCGTTTCGGTTGGTGGCGGCGTGAACACTGGTCGGCCTACAATGTCCCAAGGAAGCGGAACCCTTGGCGGCGTTATGAACCAGCCGGCGATGGCTAGAATTCCAGCTTACAATCATGAAGCTGAGGGAGATCACGTTTTGAGCAAGAAAAAATTGGACGAACTCGTTCGGCAAGTGTGCGGAGGCCCGGCCGAGGGGCAAGATGGAAACTTGCTCACTCCTGAAGTGGAGGAGGTGAGTTGATCGCACACTACAGTTGAGATGAAATTACTAATTTCGTCCTAGAACGTCCTGAATATGGCAGACTCGTTTGTTGACAGTGTCCTCCATGCGGCGTGTCGAAACTCCAAGGAGCGTGGTTCCAAAGTGCTGGAGATTCGCGACATCCAACTTGTCCTGGAGAGAACTTACAACATCCGTGTCCCAGGATACTCGTCTGATGAGCTTCGTACTGTCCGCAAGATTCAGCCATCTACTGGATGGATTGCAAAAATGAGTGCAGTCCAGGCGGCGAAAGTCATGCCTGGCAAGGGTGAATAGTGCTCTTGCCCTGGGGAAGTGGTGGTGGATATGAAAATGTCTATCTGCGAGTAAAAAGAACATCGGGCCTCTTGCGGTTTTTTATTTTACAAAAACAGGCGTTGGGTGTATACCAGGAACAAATCGGCGTCAAGGGGTATTCGTTTTGGTATGATGAGGCTATTCTCGGAAGGAAGGTAGAACATGATATGAGGTGCCTCTCCCATAGGCAAGAGTTGAGCTTCTAGACCATGATGCAAATAATACACGCCTACCTACTACCTAGATACGACTCGACACTTGCTATAACTAGTCCCGGAACTTGAAGTGTCGCCAAATTTCCATCTTTCTTGCCAACATTAGGAAAAGAGAAGTCACGTATTTGTTTCCCGAGGCGGTACTATTTGCATATCCATTCTTGGTTAACAAGCCTTTTCTCGATTTTCAGAGCTATTCTACAAGGTTTCGTCTCTGTCATTTACCTAGACACCTATGTGTTGGTACCTACCTGTCTGCAAGAAGTGACTAGCATAATAGTTGCACAATTTACATAAGCATCGTGATAATCTAACTAAGGTTGTGCAAAAGGCTGCAGGCAACATCGAAACGTCACTGCTCCTGGACCCACAAGCTGCCAGCTTAGGTATTAAGAATACCTGAGAGTTACAGCGGAGCGCCGCAAAATAAGACGCGAAAACAAGTAGCTTTTCAGCCCTTTCAAGTAGTTTCTCAGCAGTCGCCTCAGTTGCCCACTGGCCAGTCACCACGCCCCGGTCTCCATTTGGTGACCTAGCATGAGCAAGCAACCAGCAGCATCACCTTAAACCTCCCTCAATCCATTACAGCACCAAGCTCCTACGACGACCACAGTCTTAATTTCTTTCGCAAAGCGTGCCTTGCTCTCTCGGCTTCGGTACCGTACATTCTTCAAGCCAATACTGTCCAGGCCTTACCAACTCAGCGCCACGACAAGCTGAGGCGCGCGCACGACTCACGGGGTCAACAGTATTCTCCACTACCGCCATCAACAGCTTCAGCATCCTATTCTCGCAATACACAAATAAACCCATCGTCATGCCCAGCAAGACGCCAAACAACAACGGAAAGAAGCCTGCCGGGAACAACGTCCAGAAAAATAAGGACGTGGAAATGACAGACAGCACAAAGCCCAAGGGCAAGAAGTCCGCCAAGGATGGCGATGAAGAGATGACCGTTGTTGTTCCGCCTTCAAAGTCGAAAAAGTCTGACAAGATGGCGGCTGATGCTGAAGGTGATGTGTCAATGGGCGAAGAAGAGGAAGAGGCCAAGGTTGACCCTGTAACACAGACTATCGCAGGTTAGTAGTCGTCGTCGGAGCTTGATAAGCCAAAGCCAAACAGTCACTGACATGTCTTTCCAAACGCAGATATCAAGAGTAACTTTGCTCTGATAGATCGCGCGGTTTCACTTTTCGACGCCAGATTCTCCCTCCGCGCCTTACGATCTATCTCCATCATCCGCAAGCGTTTGACTCCCGATATCATTGCACAGGTCATTTCCGAGGCCTTCCCAGCTACCGCCAACTCGAGTGCTATTGTCAAGCCGCTCTTGTCTGCCATTGAGCGCGACGATGTTATTCTGGGCCGACAGAGTGGTTCAGAGATGGAAATCGATGAGGCGAAGACGTCTGGCAAGAACGGTGCTAAGAAAGAAGCCAAGGAACCCATTCCTGAGATTGATATTTTCCTTGGTATTCTTGTCCAGGTCTACCTCTTTGACTCCAAGCAGTTCCAGCGCGGTGCGGACTTCTCTAAGTACCTTTCGGACAGAGTCCAATCGCTCAATCGCCGTACACTCGACTCTTTGTCTGCCAAGGTCTACTTCTACTACTCTATCTTTTGCGAGCACATTGCGCCTCTTCCCCCTTCTCCCCAATCTCCCGTCGTCGCTATCCGGCCAACTCTCCTCGCCGCTCTTCGAACTGCCGTGCTACGTAAAGATGTCGACACACAAGCCTCGGTTATCGTTCTACTGCTGCGAAACTATCTATCAACTTCGCACATCAACCAGGCTGATCTCTTGGTCTCGCATACCCAGTTTCCCGAGAACGCTGTCAACAACCAGGTAGCACGATTTCTCTACTACCTCGGTCGCATTCGAGCAATTCAGTTGCGCTACACCGAGGCTCATGAGCATCTCACTGCTGCCACTCGAAAGGCTCCTTCTAGCAGCTGCGCCCTTGGATTTGCTCAGACGGCCACCAAGCTGCTCTATGTTGTTGAGCTGTTGATGGGTGACATTCCTGACCGAGCTATGTTCCGGCAGCCAACAATGGAGGTCGCCCTCCAGCCATACTTCCTCTTGGTCAAGTCGGTCAGAGTTGGGAATCTTGAGGACTTTGAAACAGCCATTGCCGATCATGCCGATACCTTCCGACGAGATGGCACGTACAGTCTCATCCTCCGTTTACGACAGAACGTCATCAAGACCGGCATTCGCATGATGTCTCTGTCCTACTCTCGCATCTCTCTTCGTGACATTTGCATTCGTCTGCATCTTGGCAGCGAGGAGTCGGCTGAGTACATTGTTGCCAAGGCTATCCGCGACGGTGTGATTGAAGCTACCTTGGATCGCGAGAGGGGTTTCATGAAGAGCAAGGAGGTTGGTGACGTGTATGCTACTCGTGAGCCGGGTGAGGCGTTTCACGACCGAATTCGAGCTTGTTTAGCTCTCCACGATGAGAGTGTAAAGGTTTGTTTTCCATTCATTTATGAGACGGCATAGAGACTAATTCGCACTAGGCTATGCGATTCCCTATGAATCAACATCGTCTTGAGCTCAAGAATGCCCAGGAGGCCCGCGAGCGTGAGCGTGAGATGGCCAAGGAGATCCAGGAAGGTGACTTGGATGAGGACGACCTCGGCGGAGACTTTGATGGTATCTAAACTTTGTATATTGTCTCGGCTTGAGAGCATTTGCTACATATTGATCAATGCCCTGGCTTCTCCTTGCCGACATCGCCAGGTACTGTTAGCCGCAGTCTCTTTTAATGATCCGCTTAGAGTGACGGTGGTGGGTAGTCTGCTGGTATACATCGATAGAAAGGCGAGGGATTGAGGTGGGTTGAACGTCTGACCAAGAGTTCAGTGTATGTGTATTAGATGCTCGCACGGCGGGAATAAACTTAGAGGCATGGAATACTGTGTCGTTCTCGGTGATGTAGGGATTGGAACTCCGTTTTCTTCAGAGTGGTATTCTAAAAGCAAGACATTGCTTCTTTTGGTGAATAGATGCGAGGTTCTTTGCAGATAGCGAGAAGGATACCTTATGCCAAACCGTCTGGTCAGAGTCTCAGGAATATAGTATGCCTCTAATTCTTTATTTTCAACAAATGGGGAGCTGGCGCAACGGTAGCGCGTCAGATTCCAGCTATCAAGCACGGAGATTCCTGAAGGTTATCGGTTCAAATCCGGTGTTCCTCATACTTTTATTATATAAGTTTAAGTATTTCTTTTTTTATATCATAGTCTTTCTAATTAAATATATTTTTTATATGTATACTTCTGCTACAAACATAAAAGTAAGCCGAGTCTGTCTACAGCAGAAGATACTCATGAGTTTAGGACTTTATGACATCGAGTTGCCAATCTTACTTACGCCCTTGGATCGACAAGTGTGGGCCATATCCATGGTTGCCTTACACATTGCATGATCCAAGCCACGGTAGGATTCTTAAACACATTTTGTTTATGTCCATTTAGTATCAAATCGATACGTAAATGGCAAACATACAAACATAAGGCGCTGGAATTTCGATCAAGCCCAATAAGTCAAGAGTGGATGAAGATTGACTACAGTGTCGCTCTTGTGTTGGCGATATTGTCATTCTGCTCGAGACGCTGAAGCTTAGACTCAACGTCAAACCGTGAATGTTTTGATTATCATAACGCAGGCAGCTTATAACTTCCCAGCTTTAGAACTCAGAACCGCATGGTCACCAGAGAGTCCTATTCACGGCCCTTTCCTGAACACAAGTGGAGGCCGCCGCCAGAAGCTGCTGGAAACACGAGAGTATGTTCAAAGTTTGAGGTGAGGTTGACTCACTCAGCAAACAAGCCGCCAGTTGTGCACTGTACAGCGTGCGCCCTGCGTTTGACAAGCTTCCAACAAGCAGAAAGGCAGTGCCAGCCAGTGGAAGGCCCCCTCGAAAGTTTTGTCACATAGTTTGGGTGTCATACATCGGTAAGGCTGAGCTTAACTCAATAGGTAGTCAACTCTATTGTGTCGGTATATAAAAGGCTCGGAGGACTGTTGGGAGCCCTTTCTTCCTTTTCATATTACACACAAGCCTGACTGCTTTGAATTGACAAGTACACCATAAACCTGAACCCAAAGTTGATGACTTGAACATGGCTTCCGCTACCGAGCTTCGGCCTACCCAGGTGCCCTCCTTTTCAACACATCAGCACGCAATGCCATCTTTACCTTCGGTTCAATCGACGAAGTACCACGGCGAGGTAGAAATGGACCTAGCTATCCATCTCGCCAAGCTCTGCCGCACGAGCCTCGTCGAGCTCGACTCGCATCTTCCCGGCTTCAAACCTTCTCATCCTTTCACTGCAGATGAAATCGTTTCTCTGCCGCTTGATAAGCATCGGATCGACGATGCCCTTCATGAGCTCCCTCGACGCAAATCTGCTCGTCATAACTTGGCCGTCGCTATTTCTTCCTTCTTGTACCCTGTGCATCAAGGTTCGCTAACAGCCATCATACGCTACGAGGAAGACCGTGTGCGCCTCCGTGCTTGGGCTGCCTTGCAGCGCAGGTATGACATGCTGAAAGCCACTATTCGCAACGGTCATACCACCCGTGGCCTGTCCAGCGGTGCCGCCCCTGGTGTCCAGGCGCCTGTTTGGGCCTCCCGTATCACATCACAAGGAGTTTGGGACCCTGCTAAACATCCCATTTCTCTTGAAGGTGTGCCAGCCATCCCCATGCCTGTTGAGATCGCCCACGAGGCCGACCTTGTGCCATTCCTAAACCACCTTAAGGGTGGGGGCACTTCCAAGCTGAACGGTGATGAGAAAGGCTTCGAGCTGGATGATGGACGAGGCGAGCCTTACTATGGTGTGAAAGGCGCCGAGTTCCGCAAAGGCGTTGTCTATGAGGATGGGCGCATGGATCTCTGCAAAATGGTCGTTGGACCTGACCACATTGGTAAACTGATGGACTCACTTCGACCTAATGAGTTTGTACGCCATTTTCTCCTGGGCAATAACATCATCGGCCCTGTCGGTGCTCATGACATCGCCCATTTCATCCACGACCTCCCCGGACGAATTGATACTTGGTATCTCGCTGGAAACTGCATCGACGGACCCAGCTTCAGTATTCTCGTCGACGCCATGATCAAGTCTGATGCCATCACCAACATTTGGTTGAAACGAAACCCACTTGGATCACATGCCTCTGAGGATGTCTATCGACTCATAACTGGAGTCCCGAATTTGCGAACTCTTGATCTCGACCAAACTCAGCTCGGTGACCGCGGAGTTTCGGACCTGTTTAACTGCTTGGCAGGTCACGACATGCCTGAGGGTGCGAAACTACCCCTGAAGCATATCTATCTCAACGGCAATGGCATCTCAAATGAGGGTGCACAGGCTATTGGGAAATTCCTCGTGTCTCCGCACTGCGGCTTGACGTCCATTTACATGTCATCAAACCCATTGGGGGATGCTGGAGCAAATGCCCTTGCTCAAGCACTACCCAAGGCACCGTATCTGACCCGATTGCTCTTACAGTCGATCGGAGTCAGCACCAAAGGTGCCGTTGCGCTATGCAAGGCTGCTACTGGTCATCCCGCTCTCGAAGTGTTAGATCTTGGACAGGCTTATGCCACTCATGATCTCCGGCAGGCCTACAACTACATCGAGGATGGTGCCGTAACTGCCATTCAGGACCTTGTCTTGGCCAAGAGCCGTCTGTCCTATCTCAACTTTGGACATATGGCAGTGGCACCTCCGGCAATCAATCTCATTTCAGAGGCAGTGCTCAAGAGCCCGTCGCTCGTGTACTTCGCGGCCTACCCAATTCTGCCAGATCCAGCCCTCAAGGCCGCGACCTTCAGGCCAGCAGTTGACACGACTTTCGCCAACCCAGCTGAGCCGACCAGACCGCAGATTCTGATGAGCAAGGCCGTTCAAGAGCATCTTTCTGCCAATGTCAAGGCTCGGTATGGCGAGGAAACCTCGTACCATCAGTTCATGGAGGAGGATAAACGCTGGCTTGTGAGCGATAAGACTGATGTGCGCAAAATCGACAGCGTGTACCGTAATCGCGATGCTGGTCTCGCCCGTCGCCGGCTCCTGACTCTGGTGAAAAATTGGGAGGAGGGTGATGAGACCCTTGACCGTGTCATGGCAGCTTATGCCCCAACCTGCTCTTTGCGCCGACACTGAGTAACAGAAGTGGTCGACGAGCAATTGCCTTGTTTTGCCTGGCCTCACAAGTCTATTTCACTTTTCGAAAGGTTGTTTCTCGCGTTGTTGCAATACAATCAGGAAAGTGGAGGATAGGAGAGCATTTGCTCATCCAACTTGGAGGTGAATTAATTCACTCCCCTGAAACGCTGTTGTTGTTATTCTTAGAAACATGCACCTCTAATTGAGTACGTTGGAAAATGTCCGTTCCAACATGATGCACGGGATAGTGTAAGGTACTTGCAAAAGGCTGTGGTGCTGTGGGTGGTTCTCCGTGGTAGGTAAAACACCATGAGCCATGTTATGTACTCCATATCCTTCCTGCCCAACACTACAGCACGTGATAGACGTGATTGTGATATGATACCTACCTACCTACCTTAGGAAGCATCCGCAACATTTGCCGTCCGTATCCCCCGCGTCGCGTCTTCCTTGCCATACTTATTTACTTACCTACGTTACCTACAGAGTGCGGTGTGCAACTTGAGCCTGCCTTAGCTACCTACCTTACCTAGCCGTAGATCTCATCGCATGACGTTGCGTTCCTTTTTCTCTCAATAATTCAAGGATCCAATGTCAAATCAACCTTAAAAGAAATAAATCTTCCAATCATATGTACGGATCAATAAACCATGTTTCTACGTGCGTAACTTACCAGTCGCTAAAAACGCAAACCACTTTACAACACCTTTTTAGTCTACCTGACCTCATACCAGAACTCCACGTCCAAGTCCTAGTGCCCTTCCGTACCTACACGCAAAGCGCCTCTGCGAACCACCATATTTCTTAAATCGAGGCTCGCACAGCGATGCCTCAAAAGCGCAAGCGACCAGACCAAGATCCTTCCGGAAAAGAACTGTTGCCAGCATCCGCACTCAAATCAACATCTTCTGACTCTCAATCAAAATCCACCAGCGCGTGTCGGGCGACGCGTCAAACCCCAGTAATTCCACCAACACCAGTGACGCAACTACAACCTCAACCACGCACGGAAACGGCGGTACCGCCTCCTATAATACCTACACTATCATCAGCTTCTTCGAAACCAACAACCTCCCCAGAGCAGAAGCGGAGTCGTGCCTCCAACGGTCGTCCTCAACTACCTCCATCACAACCCACGGCGCAAAGTCAACACCCCCCTTCTGTCCTGCGATGGGCTCCGCTTGAACAGCCAGGCCCAGCAGTCAGGCCTCCCTCTCACCATCTCCATCCAACAGCGATGGCAGCCATGCCCCCACCTCGGCCGATTGCCGCTGGTCGTCCGCCATCAGACTTGGTTGCGCCTGAGATCACCTATCATGTACCACAGTCGCATACAAACTCATTCCAGCGGACCTCAGCTCTTGTCCGACCTCATGGCCCTACGGCACAACCACCACGTATCCTCGAACGACCGCCGCCTCCAACAGTCACGCCAGTTCACCCTCCGAAGCCTCCTGTCGCACCTTCTGTACGACCGCCTCTTCGAGCCGATCGCAACATTGATAAAGTCGTGTTGGGTAATATGTGCTTCAGTACATGGTATCCTAGCTACTATGGAAAAGAAGTGCTTGGGGAATCATCAGGCAATCTGGGCAAAACAGGCAGCAAGGACCTGGGGGCCAAGGATCAAGCTACAGGCGGTAAATCATCATCCCGGCGGGATCGCGAACATCACCCAGTAGTTGATCGGCTCTACGTGTGTCCTACTTGCTTCAAGTACTCCAAGGAATTGGTTGCCTGGTGTCATCACGTCCATGTGTGTGAGAAGAAGACTCAGATACCTGGTCGGAAGGTATACATCCATCCAAGGGGGCGGAGAAAGATTCTTGTTCCCCATGATAATAAAACCTCTGGCCCCAAAAGACGGAAAGGGGAAGGGAACATTCGCTTGGTAGAGGAGATCGTCCAGGACGAAGGAGAATGGAGTATCTGGGAGGTTGATGGTGAAAAGGATGGGGTACGTTTACCCATTATGCCAAGGACAGCCCCAATGCTAACTTTTGCTCTCAGCTCTTTTGTCAGAATTTGTCACTCTTCGCGAAGCTCTTCCTCGACAATAAGTCCGTCTTCTTCGATGTCACAGGTTTCAATTACTTCCTACTTGTTTACACACCTCCGAGTCGATCTTCGCAGACTGCAACCGAGCCTGAGCCCCTTGCACCTCGAATTACGGGATTCTTTTCGAAGGAGAAAATGTCATGGGATAACAACAACCTCGCTTGCATCCTCATATTCCCCCCGTGGCAGCGAAAGGGTCTTGGTGCGTTGCTGATGGGGGCATCGTACGAGATATCTCGGCGGGAGGGTATTCTGGGTGGGCCGGAGAAGCCAATTTCTGATCTTGGTAAGAAGGGCTACAAACGTTACTGGGCAGGCGAAATCGCGAGATGGCTATTGACTATCAATATGGACTCGAAGACCCCCCAGAATGAGGTCCTCGTGGATCTCAACGACTGCAGTAGGGCAACCTGGATTCTTCCCGAAGATTGTCTCCAGGTGTTGCGAGATATGGGTGTATTCGAAGAGGCCGGTTTGGGCCCAAGGAAGCCTGAGGAAAAGCCTGTCCGCGAGGCTGAGGTCGAGGCCGAGGAGAAGAAAGGCGAAGACACGACAAGGACATCGCCTACTGCTGAAGGAGGAGTTAAAGAAGAGACCGTGCTAGTTGTCAAGATGGTGCCACGGGTGCGGATAGACAAGCAGGCAGTCCGTCGATATGTGGCCGAGAATCGAATAAGCCTGGAGCGTATGTGTGATCCTGCTGGGTTTATCGAGGGATACGCAAACAAGGCACCCGAGGTGGTGGAAGAAGAGATGGTGGAGGCGGAGGAGTGATGGAGTCCAGATATTGCCATGGTACAATTTGCTGGCATGTACCTAAAGATTAGACGCTTCGGCGATAGTGATACCCGTGCTCAAATTAAATGAGCTTCCTCTCATCATCATTGTTCTCTTTCTTTTTGGATCTAGTAGGATCATGAGGGACCTCTGTTCACCGAATTCTTGACAGAGAATCATAGCTTTATGCCACAATCCTGTTGTGACTTTTACAAGGGACTCGATCAAGCAGCTGAGCTCCTGCAACTATTGTGGTTTACATAACTAATGTGTCGGGATGCATGTTGACTACCCGCTTGTGTCATGCCATTTTCCTCAGGTCGTGCCGAGGTTGAACGTTCGGAGGCATACAACATGGAAAGGCGCTTCAGCATTGCATCAGGTAATTCAGAAATAGCGCTGGTATCGTAATTGAGACTTCCGGCGCGTATTTGAATAGTATATCGAGGCCAATGGCTCTGGAATAGCCTTTCTTCTCATACCTAACTCTTAACACCCATCTTTGCCCGATCTAACGAGCTTTCCCAACAGGGTAAAGAGCTTAGACGAGCTTATGTAGTTTTGCACAGGGTCGAGTTTTTTCAAGCTCGTCCCGATTTTGCCCTTGTCCAACAGTGTGAGTACTGGGAATGGGACTGATACACCCCCTGGGTTTGGGCCGAAGACTTTTCGTCACCTAGAAGTCAGCGATTTTTACAGTGCCTACCTACCTTATGTACTGGCTCCGTACCTACCTAGGGGTTAGGGAATCCCAATCTCTAAAAAGGCCCTAGTTGCCCCAGACTCCCAAGTGTCGTCCGTTGCAGATTTGAGATTCAAGATGAGATGCGAAATATGGGGAGCACTCCTCTTCTCATAGACGTGGGTATAGGGACGAGGCTAGAGCTACCGATATACAGTGTCAGCCTTTATTTTTACACGCAATTACTAAATTCTGTGGCTGCGGAAGTGGTTATGTCAGTTTCAACGCAACTTGACCTCTTCATGCTTACGAACCTTATCTAATTGACAAATGGGCTCTGTTCTTCGTAGCAAGAAGAGCATAAGCGGTGCCATAGTATCCTCAGAACAATGTTGCTACAAGACTAATTGTCGCCAGTAAGACCTGATATATAAAAGGCAGTGTTTGACAAATTGACTTTCTTCAGCCTCGCTGTCGTGCAATTAATTACACAGTATTACAGGAGGTTGAAGGCTGCAGCCACCCGTTGCTGTCCATCATTTGATTCGTGCACTGTTCCAGCTCATCGACGGCCCAACCTAAATTCGATATGGGGATGTTTGATCGAGCGGGAAAAATTTTTCCTTTCGCCCAACGACAGCTAGGTAGGTACCTAGGTAGGTAGTAAAGGGCTATTGTCTGGCCCAGCACTTCAGTGAAACTACACAAATAAAATCCTACCACTCTTGATACACTACGGTTTTTCATCATTATAGAGAACATATGGAGAGCTCGTTGTCTATACACCCGGGCTCCTCAAAAAGAAAAAGAAAAAGGAAAAGGAAAAAAATGGCTGTTCAAACTCAATGATCGATAAGCAAGAGGCAGGAAGTTCAGAGACCGCTTCTGCAAGATCATCGAAAAGCCCAACACTCAAATGGCTGATTGCAGTACCCTGAACATGTTGAGATAGGACCCGTTTGTACCGTACAAGTCTTTTTCAATGAGGCTTTGGTTCTCGTCCCCTCCCTCTCAGGAATGAGTTTACCTTCACTTTACGATATCAAATGCATCCTTCGAAGTGTCTATCACCATCCGCACACGTGGGAAACCCGTTCCTTGATTCGCCGATTAGGCTCTATAAAAGCCACCAAGAAAAAATCTCAGCTCATACTGTGTCTTGGCACTGTACAGATCGCACTCTCCGTAGGGAATGTGTTGCTGCGCTTGTGCGCTTTGCTCAAAGTCACAACCAATCAAGATCATTTCTCGGTAGCATCCAATGTCCAGATACTTATCAGCACTGTTATCATTCTGTTCTAGCCTTAGCTAGACAAGGGTCAGCACTGTAATGGTACCTCGTGTCATCAAGATAAACCCTCGATGACCTTGCGTTCAGATGCTTTCCATAGTTGTATGAATTTTACCATTTCAACGGGGTTTATACGATTGAAGGCAATCTCAATTCCCTCCTTGTTTGGAAGACACATCTCATTGAAGCTGCTGGCTGTGTTGTCTCGGAGATCCGGTACGATCGTCGTTGTCCGTTGCCGCAAAATATCTTTTTAGTCTTAGTTGTAGGGGTTCTCGTTGTTCCGGCTTTGTCCCTCCTCCGTACCGATATTTCACTCAATGTTGCGCGTTCCATCGCCGGCCCAATCTGTTAGCTGGCGCTCATTGTAGCCCTTCAACCATGATTCATGGTCCACCGCCAAGTGTGTCTCTCCGGTTGTAAAAGCCTCAGGCCTGAAGGTCTCTCAATTCCTCCAGAGCAATCACAGCTCAGCATTGTTGTATCTCACTCCACCCGATTCCCTCCGACGGCTAAGCAGCCCGTGCAGAGCTCAATCCCCTTGCCTAATTCGCACCCGTGATATCATGCCCATTCCCATCACTTTCCAGCGGTCCTAAGCTGCTTAATAGCGGGCAAATATCTTGTTTGTGGGAGGTTTTCGTCTGTTCAAGTTCGTGCTCAAGTCATATTCTCACCCGTGTTCGCCGTAACAATCGTCTCTCCCATATTCATCGTTGTTCCCTTCTTCCCAGCGTTGCCCCGGCTGACATCCTCACCCCCCTGATAATATCCACCCGTGTGGGCCCACCTATCCTCACTTTCTTCCCGGCTCCAGACGCTCTCTCTTCCCTTTTCCTTTTCCCACTACCGTCCTGTCTCGTGCTGAGCTCCGTATCTCTTTTCTTTAAACCTCCCATCAGCCTCTCCCTCTTTCAAACATCAACCATCTCCCCTCACACATCAATCACAATGGCCTCTTCTCGTGTCTTCGCCTCTCGCCTGGCCTCCCAGATGGCCGTCAAGGCCGCTCGCCCTGCTGTCCGAGCCCCCGTCGCTGCTGCCAGCAAGCGAACCATCTCTGGTAAGTTTCTGATGCGGCAAAAATTTTCTTCAAGCTCAATTGAGCTGGTGTCGAACCCGACTCGATCGAACTTCGCCCATCACGATGAATGAACAATTCGCTCACAATCGATTCAAGGCGCCAGCCCCCTCCAGGCCATGAAGCGTCAGACTCTTCTCCAGGCTACCAGCCGCAACGCCTTCCAGGTCCAGCGTCGTGCCTACTCCTCCGAGATCGCCCAGGCCATGGTTGAGGTCTCCAAGAACTTGGGTATGGGTGCCGCCGCCATTGGTCTGACTGGTGCCGGTATTGGTATCGGTCTCGTCTTCGCCGCCCTCCTTAACGGTGTTGCCCGCAACCCTGCCCTCCGTGGTCAGCTCTTCTCTTATGCCATTCTGGGTTTCGCTTTCGTTGAGGCCATCGGTCTTTTCGATCTGATGGTTGCCCTCATGGCCAAGTTCGTAAGTCAATTCCCAATTCTCGCATTCCTACTTCCTTTCCAGCATGAACTAACATGCTCCACTTTAGACCTAAGTTATTTCCCAGCCAATTGGGTAGGCTCGTGCCGAATGATCGAGTCAACGAGTCAGAGGAGGCTGCTGAGCATGATGCATTGTGCCATGTCTTGAGAAATTTGACATGGGTGCGCTTGATGCCAGCTTGCACGATAGAGGGGAGGTTGTCTTGTAATAGACGGGATAGAGATCTGGGAGTGACATCGGTCATAGGCACTTTCCTATGATTAGAGTTGGGGAAATTCTGCATAATTCCTCCCAGGGATCAATTTGTAAAATAAAAAGCCTCATTCATCCCGCTTCTTCCAATGCATATGGATATTTTCCTTGTTCCACCATTACGAAATAAATGGTTCATCTGATAATCGTGACTTCAGATATCAATGATCCCAATTGGCGTCTCAATTAACTTTCAGTCGATGACATCGTTCCGAGTAGCTTTGTCCGCTGCATGGCAGCTGTAAACATGAGGCATTTGCTGAGCTCCCGTGGGCCGGAGCCGGGGGTTGGCGGGCTAGCCGGAGACAGTCTTGAAGGCACTGTTCTTCCAGCTTAGCCGAGTTGACCCGGGCATGTTGTATGGTCTGTATGGGTCGCTCGGTGCTTGATGCCTGCGTTCCAAGGCACCCAATTTCGATCGAAGTTTCTTCATGATATGAAAAAAAAAAGATCCACACGGTGTAAATTTTACCCTCGCTAGCGTCTGTTGCTAGCCGTAGCGCACAGCAAAGACCAATAGGGCGGGCATGAGCGAGTCGTTGGAGTGGGTTAAGAGGCAACTGAATGATCTGTGGGATTTGATAGTGGAGCTGCTGAGAGGGTATGTAAAGAAAGCAAATCCACCTGACGACAAAGCCACGAGCTGGTCTGGAGTAATTGCCGGCAATGTCGGTCGAGATGCAATGCTTTCGAGCTCTAGGACAGTCAACATAGCACTTCCGATGGGTTTGTCGGGGGCTTTGACTGCCATTGAGTTGCATGATCTCAATGAGCATTGCTCAAAGTTCAAACATTATAGTCTGACCGGTTGCACCACGGGGCACTGACAACAGCTTCGATGAAACGAATGAGGCTATAGCCGACAGGGTCCTATGCAAAATTCATCAATCAAACATCATCGAAGTTTCGAGGAAGGCTAGGGCGACGTCTCGAACGGAAAGATACCACGAGCTCCAGTGAGCACCAATATGAGAAATAGACGACGGCATCTGGACGAGCGATGTGCTACACAACCGAGTTGGTATCAATGGTTGCTTGTGGGGCCATAAACAATATCTGGGCCTCGAAGGTTTGGGCAGATTGAACAGCAGACGATGCGAGCGATGACATGCCAGGGAACTCCAGGGACGTTGGTAAGAACGGGTTCAAGTGAACAGTCATTGGGAACGCTCCAGTACTCTGTATGGATAGGAGGATTGAGGTATATGTCGAAAATGTACCGTCTCAATGACTAGATGTGTGTTTTGCCGTCGACACGCACACAGAGTTCATTCTCTCCCGATTTGCTTGTACCGAGAAGGCGGGAAGACTCGGGGTTTCATGAGAGTATGGAAGAAGAGAACTTCGTCACAAACCTGGATACAGAATCACAAGGCCTTGGTGAACTCTCTGGCAGTTATATGTCTCTGTCTGTCTATTTGTCAGTATGCTGCAACGGGAGCATTCATCTCCGAGGTCCTGCTTTTACTTACTTTATAGATCATTGTGTACTTTGGTTCAGGCCCACTCAACTCCACCGTTCTCGAAAGATTGGTGCCGTTCTTGCTGGTGTAAGTCGCTCAAAGGGCCACAACGAAGCTCAATGCGGGCATAACGACTTGTGAAACAACAACACCAACAAGAAAGAAATCAGAAGGAAAGAAGAGAAGGGAATGCTGCATCTTGGGTTTCATCCCGTCTCTTTCCCCTCACTTGGAATCACATGACCTGCCGGTCTTGCCAGGCCACTTACCACTCTCTGTTGTGTCAAAGACATAGGCCATATCATCGATGTGATTCGGAAACCATGGCTTGTTCAGGAGACAGCGGATTTAGACGATGGCAATAGCGTGCGTGTGCTCGAGACATTTGCTGTCGCCGTTCTTCTCATCATGCCTTGCGTGAAATGAAGTGAAACTGGGTTGGCGGAAGAAGCGGCAAGACGAGGACAAAGATGCAAAAGGCAAAGAAGAAGCAGAGTTGGGGTTTCAAGGATTGGTCCTATTCTTATTGGCAAAGCCAGGGTTTGAGTAATGCCACGGCGACAGAGTGAGATTATCCGAGTCACAAAATGAGGGGAAGTCAACGCCGTGGCTGCCGTGCAAGAGATGAAGGGGACAATCAGCCGAATAGGGTCTCCTGCATTTGGCAGGAACAGCGTCTGGATGGCACCTTCCCGTTTCCTGCGATTGGCCATTACCACCCATCTACGCCGCGTTCCTTGGACGTTGGGGTGCCATCGACCTCCATCCAAGCCGTCAGCAGAACCCAAATGGACGCGTAGTGGTTGTGATTTGTCAAAGCGCAAGGGGAAAGGACATTCTAGCCTACGGTTGCCATTTTGGATATTTTAGCTTGTAAAACTATGTTGTCGTGAATAGCTTCTAATTTTCTATTGCCCAGTATCACGGTTTATATGACTTCTCACGCGACAATTCAAAATATTATTTGCATTAAAATCCGCAGTCATTACAGTCAGAGGCCATTCAAAGCGGGGAAAGTGGAAAATCCGGGGTAATTAGGGTACGGGTAACATTTGCCTCCCTTCCGTGGTGGAGCTGCATTACCGTATCGCGTCCCCGAACGCAGGCATTGGATGTTCAATCGGGTTTCCCAGGGTGAACACCTTGGCCCCATCATTCGATTTTTATGTCCAAGTGCTTCGATAGCCAACAATTCAGGTTTTATTCGTGCATACTACCTAGGGGAGGAAAGAAAACACAAAACCTTGACCCTAAGCGATAAAAGTGTTTAGGTAAATTCAGCCTAAGTTTAGGGGATCTTTGATGAGTTTATTTTGGCACCCTAGATCAAGGTCCGGTGTTTTCTTGCTCACCGAGGACTACGTAATATAGTCTCCAGTATTATAATGCCAGGCGGCTGCCTACTAGGTAGGTACATAGGTACGGAGTACCGTCTCGGAGTTTATGCCCTGTTCGATCGTCGATGTACCCTCGACTGTGGCTATTGATGCTAGTGTGGTTCGACAAACAAGCAAAAGAAAACATTCTCTGTACGGAGTAGTACAGACCTATTTAGGGGATTGACAAAATATGACGACTACTAGTCGCTCGTATTATTATTATTATTATTATTATTATTATTATTATTATTATCATCATCATGTAGAGGAATTAGGCATTTAATAACTTGAGCACCCGATGTTAACATGCAGTGTGACTTTCCCAAGCGAATACTGATAGGGGCTAGAACAGCCACTGATGTGAAAAGATAAACGAGGCACCGGCTGTTGTTTCATAAACCATGTATTCAATATATAAGCTGTACGGATACTAGAAGTATATTTATCCAGTAAATATCCAGCATATGCTGGCTCACCAACTAAGAACCGTCGAAAATAGTTGGCTGTATTAAAGATGCAGAATGGTCCATATAGTTATACAGAAGTTCAGCTTAGACAGAACAGCAATCCCAGTTGAAATTTTTAAACAGCAGCGAATGAAGCCATAATGATTAAGCTACTGACTAAAAGCCGAGCCTTCCTATGGCCTACCTATGCTGTAGTCTGGGACCCAAAACTCCTGTTTTCGCCGTGGTTACCCGGCATCCGACACCCTGAAGTTATTTTTTGAATGTTGCACTTCGCTCTCCTCTCACTGGGGGCGCTTTGCGTGCCCCCTTGACATCCGTGTCCGCAGACTTCGAGTAGGGGTCGAAGACCTTCTTCTTGCCCTTTCCGTCTGCCTGTCCACCATTTGACTCCCTGTTTGAATGGAGCACCGATGTAGCCTTACTATAGTCGAAAGGCACTGCGTCAAACTTCTTGGTCTTGTCATCCTGCTTCTTCTGCTTCCGCTGAGCCTTGCGAGCCTTCTTCGCTTCTTGTCGTCGGATTCGCTCTTCTTCAGCCTTCTTCTCCTCTGCCTTGCGAAGCTTGCGACGAGCACTCCTGGACGATTTTTGGGGAGGTTCATCTTCGACAGCGATGACTCCACTACCCTCTTGCATCTCCTCATCACTATCAGATTGTGATGAATCCGTGTCCTCTTCACTTGACTCGGATTCTTCGATCGCTTGCGACTTTCGCTTCTGGCCCCTCCTCAACGTAAACTCTTCGTCAGCCTCTTCAACCTCAGCATTACCAGCTGCACTCTCCACAGTATCTGTTTGCTCAGAGACTTTGACCTCTTCGGCGGCTGTATCGTGTTGAATGTCTCCTTTAATCGAGCCTTGTTGTATGAATCTCTGCCAAGGGAACGGAATAAGCTCCTCCCCAATTTTGGTTGGTCGCGTTGAAGGATCCCATTTAGAGCTGATCGGCATATCGCCAAATAACTGCGACCGAGTCAGCCTACTGACCGTGACCTCTTCATCAAGAACCGGTAACTTTGTAGTTTGCCTGGCTGCAATAGGCATTCCATTCTTTCTCATGCTATCCGGCGCCATTGAGGTAAAGAAGTGAAGCAAGCTGAGTCCACCCTTTGCCTTAGTCTCTTTGATTTGTTCCCAGATCTCATTGAAACGCGGTCGTGCTAGAGACGCATTTAGGGGTAACAAGCTGTGTAAGGCCTTTGCATCCGGCGGGTTGATTCGGGCGATCTCTGTGATATCCCTGGTGCTGAGAACGTAGTTGGTACTCTCGTCCTCTTTCCTGGCAGTGTTATCTCTCCACCTCCACAAGGCTCTGAAGACAGCAAATTGTTCGCTATCGAATGCTAAATGCGAGTTCTTGAAGATATACCCATACCAGCCACGAGAGCCTTCACCAGTCTCTTCATCATAACCGGGATGTTCGTAGCGTGAAAGTGACTGTTCCTTTGATTTCTCCACTGCCCGGCCAATGTAGTCTTTATCGACATCACCTCTATCAGAGGCAGCAACAAGCTCGTTTCGTACTCGATCGTAGATGTAGAGCAAGTAGTGGGTGTCGGACCGAGCATAGTACATCATCTCCTCGGGTAGTGGGCGTATCCTCCAGTCAGCCAATTGATACTGCTTGTCTGCATCAAAATCGACGAACCTAGACAATAGGTAGGCTAAACTCTTGGCGGGATAGTGGAGTTGCTCGCACGCAAAGAAGGTATCGAAGAGACCATTCACATACAGTCCCAAATCTCGCTGAAGCCAAACCATGTCCATGTATGCACCATGGAAAACCTTTTGATGTGTTAGTTATTCATAATTTTTACTGCTCGAGCTCAGGAGACAAACCTTAACGATATTGGGATCGGTGAAAACTTGGTTCAGAACCTCAAGTTTATGGCGCCAGGGTTGTAGAGTATCTACGATCCAGTCCTTCTCTCGCGTACTAATTTGCATGAGAGATACAAGTCCAACATAGGACCTAAAATCGTGATGTTCCAGATCTATAGCAATCTCCTTGGCGCCCTTCAGTTCCTCCAGCATCTCCAGAACGCCCTCGTATGTGTCGACAAAAGTCGCCGCGGTTGTTTCGACAGGCTGGTACATGATAGGTTCGGAGTCCTTGAACACTCGTTTCGGATATGACATGCGAACAATTTCGTGTTCATAAGGATGTTGGTATCTGTAAAGCGAACATTAGTACTTGACTATCACCAGTGCTCTGAAATCGCAAATGATTCCTGAAGGAGTGTTTTGAATATGGCGAACATACTGTGGTGTGCCAGCTTCATTGGGGACGACCTTGAGGCTTTCCTCCAAAGATAATGTGGCATTTGGTTTCGACGTAAGCATCGGCTTCCATGGAGCAGGAGCAAAATTGTCGGGCTTTCGTTCGAAAAGGAGTTGAGGCTTGGTCATATTTGCGTTTCGGATAACCTTGTTCGTAGACTTGGGCTTCTTGGACTTGTTCGCCTTCGTTAATTAGCTGCAATACTCCAAACAAGAAATATTTGACATACAGGATCAGGTAGGGGTGGCTCCTTTCTCTTGACAAGCCCTGTGTACTCATCCAAGGCTGTGTCGGCTTTCTCGAGTGATGAATCGACAACGTCCACGACGCCCCTCCAGTTCATCTCGATGTCTTCCACATCTTCAAGCTTGGGCGCCTTGACACCACACGCCTTACCGGCGGTCAGAAGAAGTTGTGTGGAGAGTTCGAGGATCCGCGAAGTTCGATCTTCGAGTAGTTGGCCGACGCTAGGGTTGACTGTCCGTTGGAAACTTAGGTCTTCGGCGGCGATTCGGTTCACGGTCTTGATTGTGGAAATAAGTGACTTCTGAATGATCTCCTGGAGCGACTTAAAATCTTGAGATTGCTCCATGTTTGCGACAGGAGATGCACGTTGCGCGTGCAGTTGGTAGCTGTGCCTAATCTCGCGATCAGTGTTGATTCTAGAAAAATTCCTAGATTTAGTTGCGCTTATCGATAAGATAAGATCCAGCCGACTGCACGTTAACAACCTACTCCGTAGTACTTACCTTACTGGTTAAAATTAGTAGTCTAGGTTAGTAGCTGTGGTAGTTGGTGAGAATGATAACTTTGGGTGAAAAGTGTACATTACACTTTTTATAATTTATTTAGAAGGACGCAACCAATTTATTCTTATGTCTCTATATACGGTGTATGATTAATGCAGTCTTAGTTATGTTTAATATACACACCTCCGTTATGAGAAAGAATAAAGACATTGCATGGACATCCAACTTGCATAGCTGAAGTCTTGGGATGCTCCGTTTGCTATAAACCTCAAGTTTAGTGATGTCGAGAAATCAAAATGCAACAATGATATACATACCACATATTGGTGTTTTATTTTTGAGTTTTTGCGTAAACGTGGAAACTTTGGAATGGGAGATTCCTTTCATTTACGTTTACCTACCTTATGCCAAACGCCTGAGGTGAGCTTGAGTTAAGTTGATCCTCACATTGCCAACACCGGGACCTAGACTCATTATCATAGCATGCCTGTAACCGATTAGTTATCACGGATCACCAAGCAGTCTTCATAGTTGATTAGATAATACAACGAGGGAATCTTTATTGGAAAGAGCTACAGTTGCCAGACACTCATACTTGGGCCAAAGATGCCTAGACATAGGAGCAGTTTAGTTGCGGCTACCGGGCCGAAGGCTATGCAAACCTCACCGATTTGAGACAGGCAGATGGTTGCAACAGAGTGATCAGTTTGGGTGCAGGCTCCCATCAATTCTCTTATTTTCGGGCTTCATCTTCGATGGTGACAGAGGTTCAGGACGTTATGGTCCGGTCAATGAAGCCCACCAAGGAAAAAACATGCCTTGCCCCCATTATCAATCAGTTCATTGGCCTGTGTGTAATGATAAAGCCCACTTCGTGAAAACCAGCAGCAGACAACATACTAGTACTTGGGCCTTGTAACCTCTAGTAGGTACCTATTTGATGGAACCCGGACGAAGAACGCCCCGAATGCGTCACTGTTCCATAACCACAGCTGGCTGGGCTGGCCTTGGGGAGCAAGAAAACATCGAACATTAGCATAGGATATCAAAATAAACCCAGTAAACGGTATCCTGAACTTATGCTAAGTTACCTCAGTCTTTTTGTCACTTATTAGGATCAAGGTCCTGAGTTTTTCCTCCCCTACTAAGCTGGCTGTTTATAGAGTCACTGAATCAAGCTTTGTATCACAGATGTGGAGACCCGCACATTATTAACCGGGGTTTGCCATTTACTTCTTATCAACTACTGAATTATTTCAAAACATCGAGAACAAAGATACTGTCCGTATCGCCCATGTAGTGGCCGATGAATCAAACCCGTCTCCGGAAACACCCCCGGGCTGCCCTCCGGTTCAAGCCATACAGACCTTTAGAAGCACCAATAGGCAGATATATAGAAGTGGAGAGCTAGTTCACTCCCGGACCTCTCGATTCGTTGCTGGCACTTTTCTCATTGTTACTACATGAAAATCAATGCCTCGTGGGTGATTGACAGGCGTAGGATGGTGCTGGGTGCCCAATGGTGTTTTCCCTTGACCATAGCGACCCGGCCCGTGTAAATGCCTCCCTCCACCTCATTCTCATCTTGAGGTCAACGGCCCGGATCTCGATCTCAGCGAATAGAGTACAACCGGGAGGCGGAAGCTATCGGCTTGCGGGACAATACCTAATAAGGGAAAGGAAAGCATGAGACATTACATATTGCAATGAGATCAGATCAGGTATGTGGTGATTTAAATAAAGAGGAGCACGAGAGAACAAGTTGTTGATCTCATGTTGTTCATCTCTCGAGTTACGACGAATTTGCATATGTTAAATTGAATCGTAACTTTAGAAAGTTTGTTAGCGCACTCTCCAACTCATGAACTACCTAACTAAGGTGTCATCAAAATCAGGCACAAGGTAAGGAAGTAAACGACCTTATTACTGCTAACCTGGCCAGCCTGGGTAGTGCATAGTACTGACTGGTTGCGGGCAGGTGTCATATGCCCCTCAGTTGCCATTTCTTTCAGCCCCATCCATGTTTCTGGCCAGTTTCTGCGATATTCTTCTGCTGTTTTATTAGAACCTGATCTCTCCCCTCTGACTTCTCTCAACTTATCGTTCGAAACTTGATCTTATTGATCTTCGTTAGATCAACTCTCTCTACTGCTCCTCAACAGTTGCAGACACATCTGACTCTTGATATCAACAGAAAGTCCTTGTTTCTTATTCTTTTCCGGTCCCCGCTTACCACGCTCTTCTCCAATAAATCGACTGACCTTACGCGCAATAGCGTCATCGTTTCGCTACACAACAGCCCAAAGCTCCTCACACTAACTCCACTACTGGGGACCTACGCCTCTCGGCTCTAAACCAGCTGCCAGGTCAATTCCCTGCCCCTCCACAATCGACAATCGATCATCGGCCATCGACCACAAACCGCGACGAGGCCGACTACACTCCGACCTTTTTATTTCTCAAGTTATCTTCCTTCAGCTTTTCAACATCCCAAATCTCCCTGTTTGAGATTATTTCTTCCAATACCGTCATCATGCCCGGTGCTGTCGATGAGAATGGCCAAGCTGCCCCAGGCCGCCTGTTGCTGCTCTCCAATCGATTGCCCATCACAATTAAGCGATCAGAAGATGGTAGCTATTCATTTTCTATGTCTTCTGGAGGTCTTGTCACGGGTCTCAGTGGTCTCAGCAAAACCACCAGTTTCCAGTGGTACGGCTGGCCAGGTCTCGAGGTCCCTGACAACGAAGTCGAGGGTATGAAGCAACGACTGAAAGACGAGTACGGCGCGCACCCGGTTTTTATCGACGATGAACTTGCCGACAGACATTACAATGGGTTTTCTAGTAAGTAGTACGATTTTGACACCACAAGAATGTTCCTGACATGATGCTCGCAGACTCAATTCTTTGGCCTCTTTTCCATTACCACCCTGGTGAGATCACCTTCGACGAGTCCGCTTGGGCCGCATATCAAGAAGTCAATCGCCTCTTTGCCAAGACCGTTATAAAGGATGTGCAAGATGGCGACCTTATTTGGGTTCATGATTACCATCTGATGCTCCTCCCCCAAATGCTTCGTGAGGAGATCGGCGAATCGAAAAAGAATGTCAAGATTGGCTTCTTTCTCCATACACCATTCCCCAGTAGTGAAATTTACAGGATCCTGCCTGTCAGAGAAGCACTCCTTACTGGACTCCTTGATTGCGACCTTATTGGTTTCCATACATACGACTACGCTCGTCACTTCCTTAGCAGTTGCTCCCGCATTCTCGAGTGTCCTACGACCCCTAACGGTGTCGACTGGAATGGCCGTTTTGTGACAGTTGGAGCCTTCCCCATTGGAATCGATCCCGATAACTTCGTTGAAGGACTGAAGAAGCCAAAGGTGCAAGAACGTATCGCTGCACTCAGCCGAAAGTTCGAAGGTGTCAAGCTCGTCGTTGGAGTCGATCGCTTGGATTACATCAAGGGTGTTCCTCAGAAATTGCACGCTCTTGAAGTGTTCCTGACCGAACATCCGGAATGGATCGGTAAAATTGTTCTGGTTCAGGTTGCTGTTCCTTCACGACAAGACGTCGAAGAGTATCAGAATCTCCGTGCTGTGGTTAACGAACTGGTCGGCCGAATCAACGGAAAGTTTGGCACCATTGAGTTTATGCCCATTCACTTCCTCCATCAATCCGTCACTTTTGACGAGCTTACTGCCCTGTATGCTGTATCTGACGTCTGTTTGGTCTCATCCACCCGAGACGGTATGAACTTGGTGTCCTACGAATACATTGCGACACAACAGAAGAACCACGGCGTCATGATTTTGAGCGAATTTACAGGTGCTGCTCAATCGCTCAATGGCAGTCTCATCGTCAATCCTTGGAACACTGAAGAGCTTGCCAATGCTTTACATGACGCCGTTACCATGAGCCCCGAACAACGTGAAGCCAACTACAAAAAGCTCGAACGTTATGTCTTTAAGTACACAAGTGCTTGGTGGGGTGCTAGCTTTGTCTCTGAAATGACCCGTCTTAGCACTGAGGGTTCTCAGCCCAAGACCCTTCGCAACGTCTCTGGGGCTGTAATCGGACTGGAGCAGAAAGCCCAACAGGCTGTCGCTGATCTTGAGAAGAAGGCGGAGGAACTATTAGCCATTGACGAGAAGAAGGAAGCCGATTTACAGACAGAGCCTTCTCAATAAAAAATGTCTCGTAGCAGGGAAGGACATTGGTGTGCAAGAACGAGTTCACGGTTTAGGCAAGCGGTCATGATTTGGGTCTCATTATAAACTGTTTTTCTTTTGCTATAATAAAAAATATCACGATGGAGTCATCGGCCTTGCTTCTGAGTGTGTCGACTGCTTTTAAATATTCATTCAGACATGAGTTACTATCATTGAATCATGTGTGCATATGTAAAAAAGTCAATGGAACTCTTTGTATTTCCGCCCATGGTGACCTAAAATATCAATGCCGTGGGCAAGTGTAAGCGACCATAGGCCCGAAGATGAAAGTGCATTGATTGCGATGCAAATGCATCAACAGATGGTATCTAAACAAAAAGAGAGCAGACAGGTTACGAAACCCATACATTACAAATTCCAAAGTCCACCAAAACTCCATCTCGGATCTCATCATGAAGTCTTAACACTTCGAAGTACTACCCTGATTTGCCGAATCGACCGTAATGACGTAAATGACTGTCTTTTTCACTCAATAAGGTGCGTTGACAATATCGTCCTTTCCAAGTTTGTATCGGCCACTGTCTCGGGTCCCGATGCGTCCAGAACCTCGACGCGAATCACTCAGTCGAACGTTACCGATGATGCTCTCGCGGGTGGGTTTCCTTAGGCT